CCAGATCTTTTAATTCATCCTTTCACTCTATTCATTTTCCAAACTTGAAAAAAAACACCATTCACAAAGAAACAAGTCAAGGAAATCACAGGATCTGCCATATTCCAGTATACGAAGGGCAATACTCAAAAATGCGTTTTAAAAACAATCAGAAAATGGATAAAAATGTTACGAACATGTGTTCCAATTAAAAGAAAATATTTAAGTAAATTCATTAAGTCTAAAACCTTGAAAAGCGTTTTTTATTGCTAAAACCTTAGCCTATTTAAGTTTGTATTTTGATTATGATCATTACTTTTTGATAGGACGTGTTTCAATACTACATTTTTAATACCTGTAACTTATGATCAATATTATTATAACGTAGAAAACCCTTACATTAATATTTTGATGTCACATATTACTAGTATTATGAAAATTAAACTAAAATTTAATGGTTGTCTGAAATGATTTAAAAGTACTGTAGAAATTTGGGGATCTACATCTGATTTACACCAGTTCTGGAGTATGCTGCAGATCAGTACGTCTGAAATTTTTCCTTATCAACAGTTATTATGTTGATGAGGAGTAAAGACAGGGGCTTCGAAAGACATTTGCTGCATCCGGTAATCTATCTTTGTAATGAACATTACAGAGAAACTCATTATCGATAGGGTAGATCGAATCGAATATTGAAATGTGATTAAGATTTAAGAATTTAATCCTTGAAAATTGAACTGCAAGTTTTTATAGGATAAGTCCATTAAACAATAAAATTTGGAGCAGAACAAACACGGACTCACAAATATCAGAGATGGGATCAGGTGCCATGGAGGAGTGAGTACCCCCTGCCGACCGGTCTCACCCGACATGTGCTCCTTGTCATGATCGGGAAATAACGGACGACACAGTGTGTATATAATGGCCAAACAATTAGTATGAAAAATGTCAGTCAGCATGACTTAATGACAAATAAATGATAAATTGCATTTGCTGAAAAGGTCATTGTATCGACCATAGAACTTACGAAATTATGACTTTAAAGGAAACTGATGATATTTTTGTTTCAGCTACTTGTTTGTCAATATATTACCTCGTTTTAGAAATCGCTAACACGTAAAGCAGGCTCTCTTGTATTGAATCAACTGAGAGAAATAAACCCCGTATGCAGGTGATGAAGGTATATTACTGCATAAGTAAGGGAAGTTGACGATTGTAAAGTTAAAATCATAACTTTTATCAAAGAATTAGTTGTTAGATTACCATCAACATCCTTTTCAAGTAAAATATTTAAATACTAAGAGGGTTGTTCGAAAATTATCGATACATTGTGTGTATTTTGCTTTCTAACGAACGTCTTTCGGTGAAATTTTGCATATACGTTTGACATACATTTAGAATTAATAAAAGCAAAAAATATTTTACAAATATTAATTATTTTCTGTGCAATGCTACATAAATGCGTCAATAGTGGGAGTACCCGGAGCAGTCACGAAATCAGATATTGAAAATATGTAACACCAACGTTCTAACTCTTCGTGGACCCATAATAAGAGCGAAAATAATTCAGTTTATGTGTATAATTTTTCAGCTTTATTTCAAATTCATGTTGTGCAACTTTGTTAGAATTTTGATCACAAATACGGAGATAATTAAAAAATTAAGCGCGGTAGAGAAATCTGCAAAGAACGAAAAAATGAATTTTGCCGTCAAGGACGGAGCAGCCAGCATACCTAAAATTTTGTGTATCGCAATGTATCTAACTCTTTTCCAGACAGGACGACCTGCTAAAACAATAACAACGAGAAAAAATAATGTTTTTTTTTCATTGATATACATTTTTTTACAATTGAAATCAAAACACCGGACAACCATCAGTTATTACAATTATTAATAGCGTTAAGGTATTTATATCGTTGACCTGCGTCATAAACACCGGACAACCATCCTTTCCCACAAATGAACATTTTACACTGGGGTAGCAACGCCATATATTTTTAAAGAATAAGTTGAGAAAAGCGACTGTTTGATTTTTGTAAAGTTATATGTAATAACAAAGAATTAAAAGTATTAAACGCTTCGCGATCGGTTTACATGCGAAACCATCTCCGGCTGACGTGACGTTAAATGACGTAGTGATGCTACTCCGGGTCGATAGACCTTAACGCTATTAATAAAATTTTTGAATATTTTATATTCCTAGCAAAAGATAATGGAAAGATGCTGTGAGAAATAATAAGTGGGTTTAAGTTCCATGATATAAAATTTAACAAATATTTAGATTTGATAAATCTTGTTTATTTATTATTTTGTCACCACTGTTTAAATTGAACGTTGTTTAATTTGCATTGTTAAGGGGGGACCTATGTCGTTCTACGTCAAAGCAGCATTATGAACATTTTACCTGTTGACTTTTGCAACTGTAATATAGGCATAACATTGTTAATAATCATTAACGTATATTTTATTCATCATTAATAATAGTTTTATTTGATTTACAGAGTTTTTTAAATATTAGATTTCTCTTCCTTTGGTTGATAATTCATAGCAATTTCAGTTGTAAAGAAATACCTATGATATGCTATATATAAGTGCAAAAAGAAAAATTAAAAAGCGACTTAAATCAGGGAAATATGTTTACATGGTTTTATTCTATGTTAACAATTAATTGTATTTTCTGGATAAAACTAAGTTGTACCTATATTTGCTTATTGATTTATAGTACATATAGATTTTATTGTATAAAGTCATCCCTAGTAGGTTCTAATAGGTGTTAACGGGGAAATGGGGTGGGGTGTGGAACAGAATGATTGGAATGAAGAAGAAAAGAATTAATCTGTTTAAATTGTTTCTAATCAAAACAAAATACTCTTTTTTCGCAAAACAGTTTTATTCAGATGTACGAAAATAAAAGAAAACGTCATATTTCTCGTTTGTTTTATCATAAAGGTATATTTTAAAATATGAATCATTTCTTTCAAAAAATGTGAATTTCAACATTTTCACACAAAGACTTTCTAAGATATTACCTGTTATGCATGTCGGAATTGTAAAAAATAACAAGAAAAACGGGGTGATAGTTACATTGTGCTCCATTATAATTTTTCATGATAATTAAAAATTTGCCTTCATTTTAAAGATACAAGTCATATAAATTAAATACCTATTGATTTGAATGTGATTTTACATTTTGGGTTTTTTAGTATTTGGGGTATAATGTCTGAAAATAATATTTTTATTTTTACACTGTTTTTGCACGTGCTCCTGTGTAAAAATAAATTGAAGGTATTGTTTTTAATACCTAAACATTAAGAGCAAGTGGTCAGGAAAGAAATGTCAAAGTTTTGAAAATTTCACACAAAGACTTTTCGGACATAGGTCTAAATATGCTTTAAAAATGAATTTCAAGAAATAGTTTGAAATGGGAGTGGGCTTAAGCTGACGAGTGACATACCTTAACTCTTTCTTCAATAAACAATGATAAAAAGGATATTGCTATATATTGATTCGCTTTGGTTTCTACATTGTGCTACAAACGATATCTGTACAATGAAGTCTGACGATGTTTTAGAATTAAGGGTTGCACAAATATAAAAGTTTGGATCTTTAACGTTTAACTGTCTAAGAAAGTTAACTTTATTGAGACATTTGTGCAAAAGCACGCTTCTTCAACAAAGGGGTTATTAAACAGAATGCTTTCGAATTTGTAGAGTACATGTAATAAAAAAGTTTAAAAAAGAGTTAAAGTTTTTGAAGAAAAAAAAGAATTGTTAAATCTGTACACCATTCAGTGTTTAAATTGGAGTAACAATTAGTATGTAAAATATTCGACTGAAGGATAGATTTTATTTGCTGACAAGGTCATATACAACGATGTTAACAAAATGTTGATATCCTTCTTTCTTCCGCTGGTTTGTCAATAGCTTACCTCTTTTTAGAAAATGATTGTGCGTTTAGAAAGTTCTTGCAAATTCAACTGATTGGGAGAAATGAACACCATATACAGATGATAAGGATATACATAAATAAGGGAAGTTGACTATAGAAAAATTTAAGTCATCGTTTGTATTGAAGTTTTGTGTTAGTGTACCATTGACATCTTTCTCTTGTAAAATATCAAATAAGAAACAGATCATGACGTGTCAGAATCTGAACAAAAAATGCTAATAAGACTGTAAAAGTAGCATTATCTGAATTTTAACGTCTAAGCTATTTTTCATTTTGATTTATTACTTTGTGGTATCTATATCTCTTGGGTAGTTACAATGACAGCAACAAATCCGATTCTTTTGTATTCATAAATACATGTAGCTAATCATTTTTTTTTCCAAAAATGACTTTGGTTTTCTGAATCGGTCAAATATCTAATATCATCCATTGGTGTTTGATATATTTTACATACTAATATCTGAATCAGTCAAATCGTCTTATGTCACCCATTGATGTTTATTAATGGATGTTTATTAAGCGTCTTCCCTGAAGTTTGTTTTAACTTCTATGGAATAATCAAATATAATAATTTCAAACATACTGTATGAAAAAAATCTTATCAATTTATATAAAAATAATAAAAGATACAAGAGTAGAAGTTGTAGAATGAGAAAATATCCCATTATATGCACGTACATGTAGATCCACATCAAAGAACCTTGAACTTTGGCGGATCAAAATGGGTAATTGAAACATTATCTTAGAGACGGTTACCAACATTCATCGACCAAGTTCTACTGAAGTTGTTCAAATATGTTTATGCGAACATGCCCATTATAAGTTAGATTTAACTTTGGTAGATTCATGTTTCCTGGGGTTGATACAATGAGGAACAACACTGGTTAATGGTGTGAGAAATTTTCAAGCATAATTCGAAATCAAGAAAGAAATAAAGAGAAAGTTGACAGCTTAGATGTAAATAAAACAATCAATTTTTAAAAACAAACAAAACCTATTGGGATTACAAAATGATGTTCATATTGTTAACAAAGCAACATTCAAGAAATATCTTTTTAAAAATGGGACTTAATTATATGTCTACTTCGTTTTACAATATAAAGTACTGTAAAATTAAACAAAGGCATGGTTCCAGTAGTTCAAATATTACAAATTTAACATTTTGCACATGACAGAGATGAAAGATATATTAGAGTTTGATAAATAACATTCAAGCATTATTCACAATTTACAGAATTTTACTTAATCCAAAACTACATTTTTTTGTTCCTGGTGTCAACAATTGAAACATAAATACAAAATAAGTCCCTGTAGTATAATTTAAGTATCTACACTTTCAAAGCATGGCCAAATTGGCAAGAAGATCTTTTCATTCATACAGTTAATTAATTAATAATATCGATTTTCAGCTGTCATCGACTTAATTAAGCAACCTACAATATAAATTCAATAAAATGATATCGGAATAGAGATCTTTTCCTTGATTATAGACTTGTCGTAATGTTCGGTTCTGATGATGTCTGAAACGAAAGAGCAACAATTATTTCATGGCAGAAAAAAAATAATTCAAAATATTCATAAAACCTTGATCATTTAAGGGCGTTTCCATAAAAAAAATTTACGATGAATGATTCATGATCATTATTTTTCTATTCATCTCGTTTAGTGTCCTTAAGAGACATTGTACTGCTTAGTGTGTTCGTACTTCCTCCGATTCATCTACTTCATTAGCTGGTTTGGCGTTGTCCATGCTTTCTTCTTCCTCGATACTATCACATTCGACTAGCCTTGCCTCCTCTTCCTCAGCTCTCTCACTTCCCTTGATATCTTCATGGTCAGTTTCTTGACTTTTACTATAAACGTCACTTTGATCTTCATTAAACACTTTAATGTCTCTTATTTGGTTGTTCCGAATTTCCTCCAGAAATTTCATTTGCATTACCATAAGTTCATTTAAACTTTTTAAGTGTGAACTCACATTATCCTGTAGAAATTAAAGAGAAATGAATAAGTATTACTTAAAATTTACTCTGTACAAGTACATGTAGTAGTAAGGTAGTCTAAATATGTACATGTATTTAGCAGTTAACATACCAATGTTTCGCTGAATTTTGCTGTTGAACACTGACATTGAAACACTTCAGAGGACAAACTGTGTGTATCAACACGAACTGGCAAGGTTTCTTGGTGGGTTTCATTGGCACTTCATAAAAAATGAGACAATTTTAGAAAGAACGATTCAAGCAATTAATAATACATGTATAGTGTACATGTATACTTCGAATAAAGAATAAATAACAAAAGATTATTCTTTATTGAACAACATCTACATGTAATCTAAAAAGCGATTATATGATGTTTAAATGGGAAATAATAGTAATTCGAAATATAGAGTTATCTAGGATTGAAATAGAAGGATGATGAAAATGGAAACTACAAAACACACATACGGTAAGCCAAGGTAAATCATTTTGGACAATCTTTCAATGAAAGCAAAGCTGAAGAACCATTACCTTATTGTGGAACTGTTAACACTTTGTTCATTTAACGTTGTAAAACTTTGATTCAATCTATTTGTCAGTAGATGATTTGAACCATCATTTGCGACCGAGTTTTGGGGGTGCTGATTTGTGTATCCTATACTACCTTCTTGAGCATTTCTATTAATTGTCAAGTCACATTGTTTTGAGCTGGAGTCTGCACTCTTTGCAACACCTGCTAAGTCATCAGACACTTTGTTCTTCTCACTATTTAACAATCCCCTCTTATTTGCCTCCATGGCTTTTTCAACAATGGTTGGAAAACTGAATTTTCTTGGCTTAAGATTTTCTTTAATAGCTATAACATCACCCTGAGGAAGCTTTGCGATAACTGGCCAGCAGTCCTGTTGATCTGCCTGATCCATTTCAGTACTATCATCATTTTGTGTCGACCCTCCTTTGTACCCCGTTTTCATCGCCAGCTCTTTCATGGCACCGAGGAATTTCTTTTTTCTACTCTTTCGTTTACCTACATTGTTTATCAAAACACCTGGGGCTTTTTTGCTTTTAGACACCCGTATCTGTTGACTCGGGCTTCCGCGGAGGTATCGAGCAGGGGAGTTCGGTGACCATTTCGTTTGAAAATCGGAAACAGAAAACTTCATTTTTTGTCGATGAACTTCTATTTCCTTGAGTCTTTGTTGTCCATATTCTCGAATGACTCGCTAATGAAGGAAATTACAATATGTACTATTATACCTTAAGGCGAAAATGGAAAGCAAGAAAAAATCGATAGAATACATAAATACTTATACAAAAATTACATATACATGTACGTCTATATATGATTATACACATACATATGCTGTTGTTACAAAAATGCTTATAGTTTTCATAGTAAGAAAGTGAAAATGAAAGGATTAAAACGTTGAAGATTTAAAAAATATATTTGAACTAATAACTTTTTCTTACTAAAGTGCTAATTGAATGTGCATATGTTAAGTCTTGTGTAATATTTATCTAGGTAGTGTTGTTATATAAAGTTATGTCTACTAGACTGGAGCGATTAGTAGAATGTCCAAACAGATATTCTTATTACAGGCTAGTTTTGATTTGCATCTAAGTTAAACCAAACACATGTAGGTACCATGATACAAAAGGTGCGTTTTTTCCACCACCGTATGACTTTAATCGCTGTTTACCGTGATATATAAGCTTCTCCTGAAATAGTGTACTATTATATAAGATAAATTTAAGCATTTATTTTTTCCTCGAAATATTTAACTAAAATTTCCCCTTATTTATCAATTATGAATTTAAAGATTGGATATGAAAGTAGTTGATAATGTATGTTTTCATGTAGTCGAACAATTTTATAAAATAAGAAGGAAGTAGCGTTAGCTGACCTACCTCTGCTTCTGGATGGTCTTTGAGTGCCTCTAACACGTCTTCACGGGAGAGAACAAACAGCTCAGAATAACCCACCGATTTCACATCGGCAGTTCTCCTAAAAATTCAGCATTGATTTCATTTCAATATTTGACTTTCACATTTTTTTCTAACTGAATGAATAGCCAGAAAGGCATTTTCTTTGGAATCTTTTATATATATATATATATATATATATATATATATATATATATATATATATATATATATATATATATATATATATATATATATACCTGTTGATTCCTCCATCTAAATTTAATATTCCAATTTCTCCAAAAAAGTCTCCAGTTTCCATTTTGGTCAGAACGGTTCCACTTTCACTAAAGAACAGGAAAAAGATGAGATTAGATTAATTTTCTACTTTTTATTAGATTATTGTTTGTATAATACAACACTCGTCGAGTTCATACTTCTTATCCGCAGAGAAAACAAAACATCCTAAGACAATATATATACATATACTGCACAGTTTTGTAATGGGCTCATTCTTAACATACTTGTATCAATTTTATTTTTGGGTTCGAAATAAACATGTAATGATCTTTTAATAAATATAGGGAGTATCATGCTTGCTTTTCTGTATAGAAGTGCATGAAATAGACTGACAAAGCAAACTTTTGAGTAACCCACTTAAACGTCGCCAAACCATGTGCTATGTTTTCAATAGCATTTCACTCATTATAATCTTGTTGCACTTCTTTTTAAAGCAATATGAGCTTCAACTTTGATGTCGAAATGTGTGGTTGCAAAATTGTATACATGTACAACTATTTCAATGACAGAAAAAAAAACATTTATAAACTTCTATTGCTCATATTTGCGATGGAAGAATTATTTATCAGCGTCGATTGAATCAAATTTACATTGTTACATTATTGTGGTCCTGTACAATAATGATTTCTTATATAAAAGTGCATATTGGATTGTATATAAAAGTCTTTTTTCTGCTTTATTTTAGTCTAATTGATCATAAAGGTTTAAGTTACATACAAATTTATGATAATAACACATTTTAACAGCAAATGAAATTTTCAAAAATGCAGCTCATATTGCTTTAAAAGAAATATTTCTAGCAGTCTTATGTGATAAAGGCCATTGATCTTTCTCATTTGCTAAAATTTCTTTGCAACATCATCCTAGAAAAACATCAAATCATGTAATGATTAACAAAATATTACTCAAAATAATCCAACAAGCTATTAATCAGTATTTATGTATATAATACATCTCTAATATTTCAATCATATTTTTTCACAGCAACTTTGAATTCCTCCCACGTTTTTCTGACGGTAACCTACGCTTTGATTTACAACAGGTGAATGTGAGAACACAAGGGTAAAGTTGATTGTAATTTTCAGTAACTCCCACGTGCAGACATGCTGTAAAATAAGGACATCATTAATTCGCACCTCAAAGAAAAAGTGAAGGGAGGGAGGGTATTGGATGTCTGGCTATCACTCAAAAAAGGACAACTAATTGAAGGTCATTGATTGTAATAGAAATCACCTTATAATTTCCACCAAGCCGTCTGCTATGATGAACATCTCCCTGGCTACCTCGCCTTGGCGACATATCAGGTCTCCCGGGGTGAAAATGTAAGCCTTCATCTTCAGAACCAAATCGTGCAGAAACTCCGGCTGACATTCTTGAAAGATGGTTACCTACAAACAGAACAGTCAAATCGTCTTTAATCTTAATCAATCACGGATACAGAAATGATATTCCTAATTTTACAATGTCTGTGAATGCACATGAAATAGGTATCCCATATAAGTGCAAATTTTAGCGAGACGCAAATTTAGCGATTAATCCCTAAAAATTGTTACATGTACACACATTTATTTTAGCGAGAAGTAATTAAAAATTTAACAATTAAATTGTTCATTTAAGAAGCTATTACAAATTATGTTCATTTAATTGTTGCGATCTCACAAGCTCGCTGAAATCATCGCTGAAAATCCTGCTTATACGGTTCTTAATACTAAAGTATAGTCAATATATTTACCCTTTTAAGGGTTTCCAAATTGACATGTATTGCCAGCTCAGTTTTCAGCTTGTCCGGAAGTAAACCCAGAGAGTTGATATCTGAACCTTTCATTCTACCCCTGAAACACAACATTGCGATGAGAAAACTCATAGTATTATAATTCGAATTTTCACGCTTTCGTGTAAATAAAATGTAATTTTCCGTATTTCTTATATGTCGTCTCTTCAAAAAGATCGTGGCTCTTCAGTTAAATAAAATTAAAGTCACTCCATCAAAAAGCACTTTGTACCAAGTTTATTAGGAATGGAAAAGAAAATTGAATATGTGACAAATGTTAAGTTTACAGACAAAAAACACATGACCTTTCTCAGTAATGCTAGCCTGAGCCGTTGCAGCACATTTCATACCATGTTGGAAATATCAAATATTCAGATCATTAATGCCTTGAAAACCTTGAAATTTTCAGATTTTTTTATTAGTCTACAAGATACGTGCATGAAATTTTCGAGGAAAAATAAAATTTAAGTACATGAAATCGCCTTGAAAATTTCAGATTTTTTTTTTACTCGTGTTCAAGATACTTGCATGAAATTTTCGAGGAAAAATAAAATTTAAGTACATGAAATCGCCTTGAAAATTTCAGATTTTTTTTACTAGTGTACAAGATACTTGCATGAAATTTTCGAGGAAAAATAAGATTTAAGTACATTAAATCGCCTTGAAAATTTCAGATTTTTTTTATTAGTCTACAAGATACTTGCATGAAATTTTCGAGGAAAAATAAAATTTAAGTACATTAATGGTGTCTTTGGAAGACAGGTCTTCCAATAATATGTTCAATAATTACACGAAAGAGTGGTACCAAATATACTACATTCTTTGTCAACTGATTTTGTCTTATGATGAAACAAAATTCCCTAAAAACTTCTACATAAAATGAAGATACCTCTTGAATTCGGCATTTACGTATATGGATCTTCTGTTAAACTAAATTCCGTTAAAAAATCATTTTATTCATATCTTATTCCAAAAAAATCAAATATCCTAATTTTAAAACATTAAATACAAATTATCTTTGTCTATATTATTTATATGTTTTATGGACTTTTAATCTGGAATACTGTTCGTTATCTCCATATTTTTCATTCATGGAATATGGAGATAGCAAACAGTATTCAAGTCCATGCAATCAATCAAAATTAGTAAAAGAGCAATTAAACACAGGCCTCTAAAATGTAAACCAAAAAAAAACACATGAGGTGGGATCAAACGCCATGGAAATGCAAGCATTCTATGATAAGGGGTCACACCCAAAGTGGGATCATATTCCAAGGAAGAGCAAGAATCCTTTGTCAACCGGTCATAACCAAGGTTTGTTACAGAACTCTGTCATGATCGGGAAAAAAGGGATCCATAGACATATTCAATGTGTAAATAATAGCCCAATAATATATTAATTAGTCATAAAAATGCTGTCCGCATTTAACGTTATAATAGATTGTATTTGCTGACAATGTCATTGTATCCACAAGAGAACTTTCAATGCTTTACAAGAGATTGTAAATAGATTGAAAATATATACATATAAACTTCATGATAATCGGGAATTACTTATATTTTGATTACCAACCTCCCTTATTTATGTAGTAATATACCATTATCATATGCATATGTACTTTTTTGTTTCCACACTGATTCTATATAAATATGTTCTATTTCTAAAGCGACCAGGCTACTGATAAATATGGTAATGTCTCATGTGTATTAAACAATCTAGTTCACAGTCAATTTTGTTGTTACAATGATCTTTTTTGCAAGATAAAAATAAGTTCAAATTGTAAGGCGTTTTGACGTCGCTAAGAATTACTTCGTTTGGTGAAATTTTAGAGCCAGGGCTTAAGTAATTGATCCTTATGTCGCGGGTTGGAATCCCACTGAGACACTGCAAATTGAGACCAATCTTTTTAGGATGGGTCTGTTTAAACAATGCTTGTGTGACAATAAAAGCTAAACAAAATATTCATCACTTCTCAATGGTTATTGGTGTCGAATGAAGGTCTGATTTCTTACAGCGGCAACCAATGTAACAGCCAACCAAACTGTTTTCCTTGATCAAGACACGGGGTTCAGGGCGGGTGTCACCAGTCAACAGAAGATGCTTACTTCATGGCATTTGGCCAGATCTTTGGTTTTTCAGAGGTCTAATAAAGCTTCGTCATCGCTCTCATTTGGAATAACTACTCAATATCTTCATTTTTCAATTTTATGTTTAAATCGTTTGTTGGTTCAAATTGATAATATATAACATCACTAGAAAAGACTTCACCAATTGTATGTATTTATTATTCAATTTTATTTTATATAATACATGTATCCATTTACATGTACTCACGCAGTGATTAATTTGATGATTATGAATGACCACATTCACAACAATTATTTAGAAGGTTCTCAATTTGTGTGGGAATAAATATAGAGATCTTAGCTTTCAGTTGTAAGTATAATATAAGTACTGATTGACCACCAGACATGGCCTGGTCTATTAATGATCTTACCGAGTCCACACGTAATCGTACCACCTCTGAACTCGTTTTTGGACATCTTGTGGTACGTTATGCATCCTCATGTATAACTTTGCCCCGTCCTATATAAGAAGAAAAACATAAATTATAGTCATGATTTTATAAATATTACTTTTTTATCTTTTAGACGAGGAGGGTCACTTCATAAGCAGATAAAGTGAATAAGGAAGAAATATCTTTTGTCTGTTTCATAATTCATTTTTCAATTCCTCTTATAAACATTTTCGTGTTGTTAGCATTTTTCAGTCAGCATTATAATATGCTGTTAAGTCTTTAAGGTAATTCCACCTATGTGATGTCATAGGTTTTTGCAAAAACTGTTATCAAATTTAATTTATACCCAATAGAACAATATATTTTGGAAGAATGATTTTCCACAGGTGTAATGATAAATATTATTAAGTAAAAAAAATTTTAAAATGCATATTTCCTTCATTTAATCAATTATTCAATCTTTAAAAAATGTTGACAAGGGCAATAACTCCTGCTCAGGTAGCTTCATTCAGGTATTTTCTTTATTGTACTTCTAATGTAAAATAGTTTACCTGATATTCACAATTCAAAAGTATTTTATAAGTAGCAGGTATGTAGGGACTTTTAGCATCATAATTATGCATTTTTTCAGTTTTTACATAATATTTATCATACTGTTTACAAAAAATGTACGATTGTTTTATGTTGACATAAGCTTCTGTTTATTTACGCCTCCCATCTTAAATATATACATTTTTTGAAAAAAGTTGGTGAATTTAAACTTTATTAAATGAAAATAAATTCAATTTTTGTACTTTTAACCATTAAAATTGTAAGGGTGGAAAGACCTTAATTGGATTGTTCATTGAAAGATGTTTTCTAAATGTTTTGATGAAAAAAACGTGTATTCTATTAAATGTTAACAAAAAATGGCCAAGAGTATATTTGAAACGGGAGTACTTTACTAGAAATCTGGACGCTAAACAAAATGTTGTGTTAAGAAATTTAAGAAAATCGTCAGGCGCCCTTAATATAATTCTGTTACGACTATCATTAAAGTTCAAGACGTGTCTACTGTGCTCATTTTTTCTTTCACAGACGATGGTCGTTGACGTTGTAACCAATACAACCTACCAACAATCTCTCAAACTCCTGTCTACTCGCGTTCCTGTTCGTAATCACGTTTCCCACTTGTCCTGAAAACAAATAAAAAAATAATGCATTAAAATTAAAATTTAATTTCTCAACTTTCGATTTTCCTACAATACTTATCAGGATAATTCCTTGTTTTTAAAGTAGGGATAGTATATGTTAATAAATATGATACGAATCATGGAATCCGAGTTTCATTGCTGCCGATGCAAATCAAGTTATCCTTCGTGTGGAAGTGGTAAAATCACAGCATGAAAGTACACAATAGCGTGATAGGACTCACCAACGATCGTGGCGAAGATGAAGACCCCAATCAAATAGCTGACGATGACGAACACGTACCTAAAGGTGATAAGAGAAAATGATGATAGGTAACATTATAGGGTACACATATCCGCCACTTGCTTGTCTGTATAAAATAATCAAGTTTTCTGTTAAGTTATTTGTATATACATATGGGTGTATGCCCACGTGTTGAGGACCGGATTTGTCCTGTAAAAGAACATTTGTGGGAGAAAGAAAAAGATTCTCAGATGAAAGGCAAACACTATACCATACAGCACTTTGAACTTTCTTTAAAATGTTCTTCAAAATACCAAGAAAGGAACTTCATATTTTACGATTTTCCTGAGTTTATTCAAAATGTCATTCACTAAGTCAGATGTTAATAACATGAAATACATTCATATTAAAAACAGAATGTCCAATTTTTCAAATATTTCTTTAAAAAACCCAAACATTGTCAAATACAGGCACGAAAATCATGCAACACACAAAAAAATGGAAATGTGCAATTAAAATGTTGTTTTAGTGTAAGAAAACGAAACAAAAGAATTTACACTATTGAATACTGAAAACATAAAAAACACAGAGCAAATACAGGGGTTCTGTTGGTTACAGCATTCCGAATTACTTACGCACGAATTGATAATTTTTCTCTACAAGAAAGAGAAAAAGACGTTAAAATGATATCTAATTTATTATGGCTAAATAAAATTGAAGCCCTGTATTTACCTTTTCCATTTCCAAAAAGTGGTGTCACATTAAACACATCTTGGAGGAATCATAAAACTATGGGGAAAAAATGCATGCTTGTGCATGTTTATAATTTTTCAACCTTTTAACTGGTTGCGATTATTTTAACCCTGCGAATTTTTATTGTTAATTTGCTTCTTTTTCGATTGGAGTTTTGCTAACTTGTATGAAGCTGGCAGTAAAATTATTCTTTTTTAGGCATAACTGAGCATGTTAAAAGCAACAACATTAAAGAAAAGGTTGGGCAACTAAGAACTTGATCGGTTTATTCGTAGATCTCAATTTCGGTTTGAATAGATACTTTATGAAACAAAGGTTGCATACTAGGCTGAGAAACACATAAAACTGATATCTATCGTTACTGAACCGACTGAGAAAATCTACAAATGCGAGTCGATATAACACTATCATCGGATTCGACAAAGGAACGGATTACCTTCTTTAAAGTTTGTGATCAAATTTCTAAATATCAAATAAACGGATGCTATAGCCTTTTTGACAAAGATGGATGAGTGCATTGGTTATAGTGCGGAGTAATTTCCTCCATCAACTTTTTACAAAGAAACAGTAAAACACACGTCCAATATACAAAGATTGTGATCTAAATGCAGTTGGTTATTCGATTATCACTCGCTAGGTCTCATCGGAGACTAACATTTCCCTATCTATATGTCGTCTGCGTAGGTTGATGAATGATGTCATCAAATACAGATCGCAGAATTTAAATTCTCGTGATATTACAAAGCAATGCAATCTTTCTCAATGCGTTTTAGTGGCACAATTATATGAGCCTAAAAATCTTGAAACCAAATGAGGACATTGTTAAATAGAATTCTAGTAATTAAAGACCCCCAGGCAGAATCAATGACAATTCTTAATAAATAAGTCCTGTTAAAGACGTAATACTGGCCTTAACTTCACACAACGCCGCCGTTTTTTTTTTATCAGTTTGGCTGATGATTACCAAATTGTTAAAAAGGAAAATTTAATGCATTAAAAACATCGTGTCAGTCGCGTTCTTATAGCAAACAAGCAATATTGTGAAAACTTTTAAATGATGTTCTAAGAATAAATGTTCGTCAAAAGTGGAAAAGGTTACACAAGTTTTATAATTCCTTGTATATTTCCCCCAGTCTCTGTCTTGAAGCAAGTAAAAGTCTCTTGGGTCTATTGTTTCAACGCACAATTCCGATAATTGCTAATTTATAACAAAGGAGATAAAAAAAATTATCCCTGTGATTAAATAGTTTAAGTTATACAAATCGTGAAGCCTGCGGGTTTTTTTTTGAAATGTCTATACTACGAACTCGTCCGGATAGTGAACTGTCTAGTGAAAATGTACAGAGGACTAAATGAGAAATTATAATGCTGCAGATACTAACTTTTAAAATATAACAAAATAATTCCAATTCAATTGCATGTTGTTTTTTTACGCAATTGTACAAAATACTTGTACAACAAACCGTAATCAAGCCCAGAGCCCATTCAAACGATGAAAGCGGAAGGATCTTCAAAAATATCAGATATGGGATTAGGTGCCATGGTGAAGTAGCCATCCCCTATCGACCGCCGTGTGCTTATTGTCATGATCGGGAAAACAGAAAAAAAAATCCACAAAGACAATTCAGTGCGTAAATAATGGCCTAAAATCAGTATAAAAATGATGACTTTCAAAAGTTTATATTCTCCTTTCATCAACATATTGACGATAGCTTGTCACGATTTAGAAATTGTTCGTACTTAGAGCATGCTCTTGTATATCGAATCAACTTGGAGATATAAACCTCATACGCAGGTGACAAGGGCTTATTATAATATAAGTAAGGGAAGTTGACGATAGAAAAGTTGAAGTCATTACGTTAATCATAAACCTTTGTAATTAGGTAAGTAAAGAAATATTTTTCTAGTAAAATTTCCATATTTGAAACAGATATGTCAGACTCTGTGGTGTCTTGTGTTTCAAGTTTACTGAGATTTACCGAGGCAATATATTGATAATACGTAGTCAATATATCTAAATGACGAGTTGAAGGCAACAACAAATATTTGTTCTCTTGCATAAAGATGTTTTTCGAATAAATTTTGCTTCATATCAATACAAAGATAAGTCTGTATGGCACAATATGTTCCCATGTGAACTCCGACAGTTTGTTCGAAGACCTTATATCTAAAAACCAATTCTATTAGATAATGTCAGTCAAAAACTCAAGCTATTTGTAGATATTATCTTCAACCTCTCTGTGTTTACAATCAAAATGTTCTTCAACCAAAACAATTTTGCAAAAGACAGGGTAAGTAAGTTCACGAGTTTCATCTTTATTTTAAAAAAGCAACAGTCCATGATGTCAAAAAGCATAAAAAAAAGTTTATCTCGAAAAATGTTTTTAAGAAGTGATAAAAAGTCGTATATTTTGATACTATTGATTTTGTTTTAAAAAAGTGTGGTTTCAAATTTTCTAAAAGTTCCTTTGAGTTGTTTGTTGGGCATTTTTAAAATTGACTTAAGATTAGCAAAGCTATGTCAAGTCCTATTCATTCAGTAGAAATTACAGTTCTACCTCCAGAACGGTAGCTCTCTGCTTGAGAAAATTCGGACAGATAATCAAAGCAGAGAACTACAGATCCAAGCGTTCTAAAAACCTTCGATTTACGCCACCGATTTTTTGTCGCTCACTTCGAATATTATCTCTGGTATTTTATGTTTTGTCCAGCTTTACATACGGTATCCGATTATTAACCATAAATTCCTGATATTTACCTTTCAAAGGTTCCAAAAGCTGTTTTTGGTAAGGGATGTCAAAATGGGAGTTTTAAAAAACGAAATAAGTCGAAATTCCAAAACCATAAATGACTGTTTGGGAACGTTGAAAGGTAAATAAAGTATCAACGATAGAAGTAAAATATACAAGTATTTATCTGATACTATTCTAAAAGCAAGGGAATGCATAAAATACAAGAAATAATACTCCAAGTGAGCGGCAAAAAAAATCGGCTGCGTAAAATGACGTTTTTGACAACGCTTGGATCTGTAGCTCTCTGCTTTCAATAGGTATGTGAAGCCTAGCTTTCACATATGCTCTTATTTCATCTTCTTGGCAGAGTTTCTCAGCTCAGTGTAATGACCATGTTTACTTTAAAAGTGAATTTTTTGGACAATAGGAAAATTCATGGGGTTTTCTATATTTAGAAGCTCTTCAACAGAACTTTTCAACTGTAAAAAAATAAATCATATGCCTCAACAATTATTATGATATACTGTTTATTGCATTACTTATTGTTCATCTTTTTAAACAGCTACGTTTGACTGAAGGGAATACTAATCAAGTTACCCTCTGTCCGAAAAGTCTTTGTGTGAAATTTTCAAAACTTTGACATTTCTTTTTTTACCACTTGCTTTTCATTTTTATTCATTAAAACAATACCTTCATATGCTTATTTTTACACATGAGCACGTGCAAAAACAGTGTGAAATGCTAAAAAAAGATTATTTTCAGACACTATTTTTCTACCCCAAAAATGTGCTAAGAAGAACCAAAGATGTCAAATCACATTCAAAATCAATATGTATTTATTCATCTTGCATGAAAAATTATAATGGAACACAATGGAAGTATCACCTCATTTTTCTTGTCGTATTTTTAATAATTCCGTCATGCATAATAGGTAATATCTTAAAAAGTCTTTGTGTGAAAATAATGTAATTCATATTTTTTGAAGAAATGAATTATCTCTTTATTTTAATGAAGAAAAAAGTTTACCTTTATGATAAAATAAACGAGAAATATGAAATTTTCTTTGATTTTTGTACGATCATAGACATTTTATAAATATTGACCTTTCTGCACTAAGACAAAGGTAAGACTGATATATATATTAAAATATAAGCGATATTTGGGCGAGGGTAAGAAAACGTGATAGAGGGCGAGGCTCGCCGAGCCCTCTTACGTTTTCGACCCGAGCCCAAATATCGCTTATATTTCAAGACAGTTATGTAATTTGTTTATCCTGCAACAAAATTTTACATTTGAACGTCCAAAACAAGCTTTTTCCGACAGATTTAGGCACATCACTGCAGCTGAAACTATGACCCCATGGCGTAAACACTGCAATATACTTGACGTCACAATGCTTTTAGAACGTCGGAATACATGCACGAGGCTTTATTAGGGCAGTGACCGGATAAAGCTTTGGTTTATTAGGTTACCTCTATTAGGTCAATGCAAGGGGTAGTTGCAGGATAAAAAACTATTTTGCGGAAAACAAGTATTCTGTTTTGATTATTAACAATTTACACTGATTTAATCTTT